TGTTCTTTTTCTTGGGGTGGGATATAGGGGAATTCAATGGGACGGCTCGGATTAAGGGTTGAGTGTGAATAGAATCTCGAATTTGAACGACGGTGCAGACAAAGCGTGCGGCGTCTAGAAGGGAGCATAAAAACTGTTTTAGCATTTCTCTTCATTCCTTGGGTTTTTTTCTTTTCTTCTGTTGCTATCTTTTTATTTACTAGCGAACGAAATATACGAAAATATGATCTTGAGAGAACCCGTTTTTCCTTGCAGCCATACTTCGGCTCCGAGAGGATTTCGCCACGTTCCGAGATGCCACGTGCGTTGCATGCGAACTTGTCCCGCGCTTAGTGACCCCTGTCAGCCTACTTGATTGGTAGTTACTCGTGATTTTGGTTTGCTGAGTCCCAGACACCTTCAACACAGCACGTCTAGAGAATTCCAAATAACATCAGGTGCGATGGACCGCTTCGGCATGGAGATACTTTAGAACTGCTTTATGTCCGAATCTCAGAGGGCCGATGTGGACCTACATAGTTGTAGCCCTTGCATGGATCTACTCTAGTCGTTAACCCGCTTGTTTACGATTTCAGATCTGAATCCCATCCTGTCGGTAAAGGCTTTGGGTCTTAGTCAAACTGATTTACTTGTCTTCTTTGAGGTCCACTTAACTCATCCGGGGGTGGGACCGGGAGGGACCATGGATATTAGTTACCCGCTAGTATGGTCCACTAAAAATGTGGGGATCATCGATTTATCACTCGTTCGCGTTGGTGGTGTATCAGAAAAGGGTGGGGCCATAGGCCAAGTCACAGACGGTGATTTCTCAGCGGTGATTCAGGTCTCCCAACCAGATTCACACAGTAGGCCTACTGTGACGGTGGTATACATTGGGCGTCAAAATCTCTTTAAATACCAAAGAAGAATTTGGAATCAGAAAAAAATCGATGGGAATATGAGTTTCCCGGGAATCACCTATAGCTATATATAACTACATAAATAGCTAATTTGAAAGCTCGAATAGACTTCCTATATTCTTTTGTGCGCAAATTACCTCTTAAATGATTTGGTATCATCATGGTGACACCAGTTTGATGTGCGTAAGAAAATAATATATGTACATGAACATACATTATAAGTGTCTTTGACAAACATCAAACTTCACATTTATCTCACCTTTGATCAAACACCTCGTTTTATCCTCTTGTAAGGTGGAACACTACCAAGGTTTTGTAAATAGCACCGGGTAGTAGCTTAGACCTGAGTTCATTGGCGTCCTTTTCGTGCTGGATCTAAACGTTTTGACTTGTAATTGCATTGGTCAATTAAAGATATAGGGCCTGTTCGGGAGACCAGATAACCCGGTTTATTGATGTACATACTTTGTTAACACAATATTACTAGACAAAAAAAAATAATCATTGTGTCCGAGAAGCCTACGGAAATCCGAATCCAAAATTTCTTTGATATATTACATGTAGTATTGGTGGCTATGTGGATGGTCCGGCTTACTAAACAACATTATTTGATCTCCTATAGCTATAGGCCTTAAGATAATTAACACAATATATGAGAGAAACGTTATGCTCTATTTTACTATAATTACGTATAATTCGAATTCCGATGATGGTGGTATGCTTGAAGCCTCAAAACTAGATTTCTCTTGTACGTTATGTATTTTATCAATAAGAAGCGATTGAAGCTTAGAAAGTCAGATGCATATGTATATTGTGCTTCATGTGTATTGAAGGCCGACAATCATTTACTAACGCTCGGGCTCTCATTAGTTTCACAGTGAGTTTGATGTAGTCAAACATCCTACAACCTCTTATTCGAGTGGCTGAAAGATCCTGGTATGGGTCCAGGTAACCTATGCGCTGGCAACTACAATCATTGAGTACAATAACTGATCGTTCTCCTATTTATCTAGGATACCCTAGCAAAGAAAAAAGAATTGATCCTATGCATTTTCAAAAAAGAAACCGAAACCTATCAAATGCCTCCATAGTAAAACAAGAAGGAGGAGCTCTAAGTTATCTATCAATCGCATCAGCGTATCCAAAACAAAAAACAAGATAGAAACAAAACTTTTAAGATCCCTATATACTCCTTGTGCCCGAACGAGCACTTATAAGAGCAAGTGCAAAAAGAAAAGAAGATAGATCCAGCCCCCACATTCTACCGGCGAAGGAGAGTTCTAGTATACGTATGCCAGCTCAGATAGCATCGTATATTCGCGCAGTCTGAGAGATACCATCCTGCACCTCGTCGGCACTATCGGCGACTTCCGGGATCTTATCGACACTTCCAGTTCTGGCAACTTCTTGCTCTTCAGCGGTTGCCTGGTGGCTTTCGGGCACCTCTCTGGACACCTTCTTCGGCGGCTTCGTGTTTATCGCTTTATTGGTGATTGGCCCCGCGCCAATGGGCGTTCTAGTAGGGGCGTTAATATACCCAGTGCCCACTTCCACCTCTACACCCACCTTTGCGGAGAATTCCTCGGGAAGATCTTCGTCTACCGCTGCTTCTTCCCTGCGAGGTGTACATCTAATCCCCGACCCAGGTAGAGATGAAGAAGACGACTCGATGGTATCCGGCGGTATGGAATTATAAACCCTCAATGGTTTGTATTCGACTACTCTTGATTCATGGCCCGCGGGTTGCATCTCCGCGGCCGTTGTCTCCGACTCTAGGATTAAGGTTAACCCTATGAGTCGATTGGGCCCGGGTATTTCTGATCTAGTAGGGGTGTAAATGCTAGGCTCTCGTTCAACATGAATATCGGGCATGTCTTCTACTGTGATGAAGGTTAAACGGACTTCAAGCAAAAGGGGCCTCTGTGACTAGCTACCTTCGATACCTTCAAGTACTTGTAGCACTGTAGGAAGATCATCATCCCACTCCGAGTCGAAATCAGGAAAGTGCATGGTGTTTTTGCAAGAGAGTGACTGGTCTGAGGTAGATTTCGATGGATCCGCCATATATTCTTCGTGATGAGGAGGTTTAATGTGTATACTTTGCGGTAGACGAGGTTGTTCAATTGCCAGACCAGATACATATCGAAGATTCTACAACCACAATATAAGAAGACATTTATAGTCAAGTTAAGGAACGTCGTCCATGAGGTTCTATTGGAGACCGAGAGATAAGCCTTAGATTAGATGTCCTCGGGCCGGGACCCTTGAACTAGTAATCTCACTAGTACTACGGCACTTATCATCAATTTCCTTATAAGTTCTCATATATCATATCATAAATATGATAAATACGCGTAGACCTTGATTCAGCCTCGCAGCTATACTTAATATGTGGAGTTTTCTTTTCCGTTTCTCGTGGGGGTCCTATCTGTTAAGGCTGACCCGTCCTTTGGGTTTATTCATTGTTGGTTAGGGGCCGCCGGCGCCGGGGTTCGATCGTAATGAGGATTGTCTACGTGGGAAATCTTCGGCATGTCACTACATGTATTTTACCGAGGGTAGATCCTTCTGAAACAAACAAGGGTAGAATAAATCTACAATCTTGAGGTGGGGAAAGTAAAAAATAAAACCAATATATCGCGATCTAAGACCCTGCTGAAGTTGAATGTGGGTTAGCTCAGCTTGATGCCGCATTCGACCATGATTAGACATCGAGTGACCATTCATGAACGTGCCAAGACTTACACTAGAAGATAGTAAATAACGCCTCATTAAGCCTTCCCAAATTGGCTTATTATTTCCCATTGTTTGTAGCTTTTCACATTTCTTAGATACCCGGAGGATCAACAGGTATGTAGAGTAGATGGAGCAAAATAGAGACAATGTCTCACAGCTGTCCTCCATACTCACGCACGGGCCGCCGGAAAGTGCTGTTACGGATGCAATCACACTCTAGAATATACCACGGATGCTGAACAAGAAGTATCGGCATCGGGAAGCAGAATCGGCATCATGTGTGAATTGGGAAGTTTATGCCCCAAATACTTCTGTTGGCTGAAGGCGTTGGGAATACGCCCTTGGCAAAAGCAGTCAATCGACCAATTCACCAGCGGCGGGTACAGAAGACGATATAAAGCCAAGAAAATCTTCAAAACTGAAGAGTTTTCTAGGGAATCGGATAAGATATATGGGGATCTAACTTATATAAAACCAGCGTCAGTCAGGATCTGAAACACGTGAGGAGAAGGAAAAAAGAAGTACATGATCAATCGAATAAGAGACGAGTGAGTGATATACATACAGGTGATGATCGTGTCCTTGACGAGGAAGTCATCGTCTTCGGCTGGTTGGTAGATGTGCTCAGCCTGTGGGTTCATCCCAAGTGGTGGTTTGGGGATACTGACTACAAAGACTGTGTAGTCAAAACACTCTCTTTGGCTGTTCCCAAACAAAGTTCAGGCAGTGAAGTAGAGTAACGGCCACATACAAGGGTTTGTAAATCGAGCACGTGCACAGCGCAGGATCCGGATGGGACTGTGGAAAAAAAAACCAGCACATAGATCGACGCACACAACTATTATGTAGTCTCGATTCCGGAAATTACTAACAAAGTCACTACCTAGAGTCACTTTGATGTACCAAGTTTTGACCAATCAACGATGGTTACTAGTGGTGCGTTTGGTAACACATTGTGGCTGCAGAAGATTCAGTACCTTTACTAGTGCCTAGCAGCAGAAGAACCAAAAAATGCGGGTGATATAAACAAGGATCACCTATGGGATGGCACCCCCATTTCATACAAACAACCCTAGTTCGGACTCCTGCATTTTCTGATTCTTAACTCTAGCTGGAAGGAAATGCATACATGTAGGTACATAAAGTACATAACTTCACTTCTGTTCAGCCAACATTGTAACAGGCTTGTCAATAACATTGTTTCCGCATTGCTTATGTGACAACCACGCTTGTTTCTCTTGGCGCGTTCTTTGTGGTGTGATGTAACGTGCAACCTCAGCAGTCGCGTCTCCCAAGTCATCCACCTCACGAAGCTCACCTCCACTCTTCGTCTCTCCCATCACATATCCTCAATTGCACCCCAAAATGCCTCCCAGAAAGCGCAAAGCTACTCCAGTCGATTCCGACTATGAGTCTCCTCCAAAAAACAAGGCTAGCCGAGGAACTACCTCCTCACAAGCGAAGAGGCGCCCCCCAGCACAAAGTATCAAGGAGATATCGACTTATGTCGCTAAGACTATGACCCCGGAGTACACGATAGTTCAATTGAAGTCTTGCCAGAATGTTCAAGACTATGACATTGCCGAACGCTGTGTCACCTGTATCGAGAAGCAGAGTGACTTGGGGACCTGTCGCTTCGTCAACTTGAGAGCGTTTAAAACAGATGCTCAGGGCCGAGTTGATACTACGGATTATGCCTTTGGTTTCGTGGAGGTAGTGTCAAAGCCAAAGCCGGTCAAAGTAAAAGCCGCGCCTAAAAGGAAGAAGAAGGTCATGAAGCCCGAAATCATCACTACCAGGAGAACTACAAGATTAAGTGCTGCTGGAGATAGCACAGCCCGGGTCGCATCAGACATGAGCGAAGCTGAGAATGCTCAAATCAATCCTGATTCAGCAGAGCAGCAAGCAGATGCAGGCGATACCTTGGCGGCTGCTTCCGATAATATGGACGATAAGACTGACGATAAGACCGACGATAAGACCGACGATAAGACCGACGATTCTCCAATCGTTAGGCACACCCTAACCTCGGATCAAATGAAAAAAGAGGCCGATTATGTTCTTCCCTTGATCGCGCCTGTGTTTGCTGAACATCTCCGCCGTGAGAAGCATCATGAACTTACTCACCTTGGGCTGCCGACAGAAGGAAAGCCATTGCCCGGCGGTGCGCGGCCCTTGTTCCGCGTTCCATCTTCTCCAAACACCCGAAGTCTCTGTGACGCGTGCTCAACAAGTATTTATATGGGTAGCTACCTATGCGGCTGCTGCGGGAAAGAGATGTGCCTTGGGTGCTGGGAAGAATGGGTGCCGTCTGATATCGCCCAAGGTTCTCGTATCCGTCGCATCGACACTTGTTCTCGCCGCCGTCGTCATATTCGGGATAGTATGCTTTTCATGACTCGCGCAGCAGATGGCGAGATTGTAGAACTCCTCGAGAGAGTTGAAGCTCGTGTTCCATCTGAGGAGACGCAAAAGCAGGAGCAGGATAGTGCGGATACTGAAACAGATTCTATCCCTACCGCTCTGTCTACCTGGCCTAATGACAAGCTTAAATATCTTGCTACCCCAAAGACACAACACAAAGATATCACGCTACAACAATTCAGGTCATTGTGGCGCCGCGGTGGTATTCCCCTCGTCTTGACTGGCTTTCTTGACCGCTTCAAGCTCCCCTGGGATCCCAAATACTTCACCCGCCGCTATGGATCTGTGCCTTGCAATATCCACGACTGTGAATACAACCAGACCAAGGAAACCAACGTCGAGAAGTTTTTCAAGGGCTTTACCAGCTCTGACATCACACATTCATATAAATTGAAAGACTGGCCTCCTTCCGCAAACTTCTCCGAAACCTTCCCAGAGCTCTTCAAAGACTTTGAAAACGCCATCCCATTCCCCTCCTACATCTCCCGCACCGGCAGCCTCAACCTCGCAGCCCACTTCCCGCCACAATACATTGCGCCCGACCTAGGCCCCAAAATGTACAATGCCTTCCCTGCACCCGACTTCCTCCCCAAACCCACCGGCGAAGCCAAACTGAAGCACCGTCCCGTCAAGGGCACCACCAACCTGCACCTCGACCTCACCGACGCCGTCAACATCATGCTCTTCTCCGCCGGCGGCGAGAAAGCGCCCCCCGCCGCAACCACGCCCAAGGACATCCCCTTCTGCGGCGCAATCTGGGACATCTTCCCGCCCTCGGCCTCCACCCACCTCCGCGAGTACCTCAACAGCGAAGCCTACCTCGAGGCCCATGCCCACGAGGGCGCAATGGAGCTGGACGATCCGATCCATAGGCAGATGTACTACCTCACCGAGGACGACATGATCAAGCTCTACGAGGCCAACGGCGTCATGGCGCACCGCATCTACCAGGAGCCTGGCGAGGCCGTCTTTATCCCCGCTGGCTGCGCGCACCAGGTCCGGAACCGGAGGAGCTGTGTTAAGGTTGCGGTCGACTTCCTGACGCCCGAGAACGTAAAGGTGTGCAAGGGCCTCGTTGCGGAGGCCAGAGTCATGGGGAATCCGTTCCTGGGTAGGGCTGCGGGAGGAGGGAAGGAGGATGTGTTGCAGTTGTGGTCGTGCTTGGGGTTTGCGTGGGATGCGTTTGATGGGCCGAGGAAGGCAGTTGGCAAAGACGGGGGTGCTGCGAAGAAGGAGGAGGAAGAGGAGGGGGAAGGGTCAGGAACCAAGGCGGAGGATAAGATGGAGGAAAACGGGGATGGGAATGGAAATGCGGAGCGGGCGGCCCGTATCGAGGTCGAAACTACTTCTGCCGTCTAGGCAGATATGGTGGGAGGCGCAGGCGAAAGCTTAGGCCTAGTAGGGGATATCACATATACCCTTCCAATAGTTGTTTTTTCTGTACGCGGGTATTTCCGATACTACTTTTTAGCTTTAGGCGTATATCAAATCTTATCTTTTATTTTCTTTTACTATTTAGCAACATTAGTAGCCCTATTAACCATGTGTAAGCCTCTTTTTGTTAACATGTTGAGATTTCTGGTATGGTATGCGGGATGGCTGGGTCTATCTCTGTCTTGTATGAATACCTTGGTTCGGGAGGGGGCATTCTGTTTCTTTGGGGGGGGGGGGGGGGGGGGGGGTGATATTTTTATCTTGTTGGCAGAAAGGATCAGTATATGGTGGTTATCAATCCTCACGGTATTCAGGAAATATACAACTATGCAAGTCAAAATATCTGTTCTGTTTCGTAGAGGTGCATGGTTGTGTAGTATATTAGAGCAAGTGACAAGCGTCGTGACCCATTGGCCAATTGGTCTACTCTACTTGAACCATTATCAAGAGTCATCAAGAGCCGGCCTTGGCACTTCCTCCCACCAAGAGTGATATCCCATGATGCAACCCCCCCCAACCCAACCTTACCCAACCGACACTGATCCATCCATCCAGTCCAGTCCTGTTTCAAATGCTTGCCGAACCTCCAGATCTGCCTAAACAAACCCCCGTTTAATTCCCATCCGGTTCTCCGAGATTGTGTCGGGAGGGGGGTCGGCCGCAAATAACCCGAAGAATCGGGGGAGGTGGGCGTTGAAATCTGGGGGGCGAAGATTTTGTTACCCCTGAAGTTGAATTTGGGGATCGGTATGTACTGCATACATGTAGTTGGGATCTTCATGTGAATTATATACCTAACCGAGAAAGACTACAACTACACAAGCTTTAATACTCCGGGGGTGGAGAAAGGGCCGGGAGTGGCAGGGATATATTGGCAGAAGTACTTCTATGTAATTTATCCTCTTCCTCCTCCCCCCCCCCCTTTCTCTCCGCAATATCCCCACAGTTTGCCTTGCTCGGATAGATGGAATGGAGGCGGATCTTTGTTACCCCGGATTTATTAACTGTGCTGCAATTGGGTGGTTTTTGTGGGTATAAAAGGTAGTGCTGTGTCCTCTCATTCTCGCCGAGAGATTCAATTGTTCCTAGATCCTCAGGATATCCAATTGTCGAGGCCATTATAATAATTCTTGAGCCCTAGAGTATCAGTCTAATATTCTTTAATAATGAGATACTTTGCGCCCCTCGTCCTCCTTGCTGGCCTTGTCTCCAGCAAGCCAACGCCAACAGTCCAGAATGCGACTCTCTACCTGTGTTCAGACAGCACTGCGGCAAACTACAATCCTGCCACTACACCTCTCCAGGGGTATGTATGCTCTCAATGTCTTATATAATAAAGGAACCAAAAACTCACATATAATACCACCACAGTTTCGGCTACTACCTCGGAAACTACCTCTCCACAAACTACGTGAACCGTGCCCGCGGCGGCCGCTCCACCCGCTCTTTCATTAACGAGGGTCTCTGGGGTCAACTCCTCGACATGGTCGTCCCCGGCGACTACGTCGTGATTGAGATGGGCCACAACGACAACGGCACTCCCGGGACCGGCAGCGACGTCGGCAAGGACCGCGCCGTGATTCCGGGGATCGGAGACGAGACTGTAACCGTGACCAACTCGACGGGGGCCGAGGAGGTGGTGCGCACGTTCGGGTCGTATCTGAGACAGATGATTAAGGATGTGGAAGAGAAGAGCGCCACGGTGGTATTGAGTGGGATGGTGCCAACTATGAAGTGGTCCAGTCCGGACAATAAGACCTTGGAAACGGAGTGGCCGTTTACGGAGTATGCGAGAGCTGTGAGTGTTTCTATCTGTGGAGCGTGACTGAGATGTGCGTGCTGACTTCGGGGGTAAAGATTGCGGAGGAGCAGAAGGTGCCGTTTGTAGACCACACAAAGTACTCGGTGGCGAGGCAGCAGGCGTTGGGGTACAATGCTTCAAAGGCCATGTATCCTCTTGATAACACCCACACCGATGCGGCAGGAGCTACACGTAAGTTGGCACATCTGTAACAAGCTCAGATTGAATCAATGGCTGACATGTCTGTTTAGTTAATGCGGAGAGCTTCGTCACGGCGGTGAAGTGCGCAAGCGGTAAGTGGAACCTCAAGAAGGCCCTCTTGGGCAACAATGCGAACGCAACTGCTGTTGTTTATCCATGTGCATAGAGTGCTGGAATTATATTCCTCGGGTATTTAGATGTAGAAATATGATGTATAGATGGTCTATAAATATATTTGATGAAGACAAAGATTTGCCTGATGTGTGATGGGGCGGCGAAGGAGATCTAGAGGTCTTTTCTCTAAAATATATACATACAAATACACAACATTTAAACGCCACATGTACCCAGATTCATTATGTCAACTATAGCCTAACTCATTATGAAATAAACCGAGTGACGAACCACGACTCTACCCGTCATCACCCATCACCCACCCCCCCCCCCCCCCCCCCCCCCAAACACCAAACCCGCAAAACGATCATTACCTATCTACTATTTCCTTGGCAGCGACCCAACGCCCATCGTCGCAACCACTGGTAGAGCAATTGCAACAGAGTGCTAAACTACATTCTCTATACCCAAAGACGATCCTACCGGAGTTGAAGTTGAGGTTGAACTTGAAGCATCCAGATACAACTTGCACCTTGCATGAATCCACAGGATAACCTAATTGTAGGTTCAGAAGTCCTTGATTGCATGCGAAAAGGAGATGGATGGCCATATGGTCTACTGCATAATTCAAAATGTTCGAAATTTTGCAATATGCTTGCTTGGCACTGTTTTACGAATGTGTTATAAAGATGCTTTTTCGTTGTGGTCTAGTGAATGAGTGAGTGCCAATCCCCACTTTCTAAGGAAGGGGCGAAAAAAGAAAGAGAGAAAAAAAACCTGAAGTCTACCATTTCCCATTTTTCATAACCGAAAATCTATATAACAAAAACATAAAAAGAAAAAGGAATTAGAAAAAGGAGCAACCCAATACCCACAACTAAAACTCTAGCTCCACGGCAAAGCCCCATAATCCCCCGCCACCGAATCCATCTGTAAGAATTCCGTTAGTGGGAACCCTTCCCACATCATCGGATCCGCCAGATCGATCCCCATCCCGCCCCACCCTTCCGTCAACCCTGCCCCCGCACCCGCACCCACACCCACCCCTGCCCCATACCCCACAACCTCCGCTTGTGTAGTAGTAGCAGAAGCAGCAGGGGCCATCTCTTTCTCTCTCTCGCTTTCCCTCTCGCTTTCCCTCTCCTTCTCTCTCTCCTTCTCCCCTCTGCCCACCTTATCTAGCCACCCCTTCAACCCCGCCACAATACTTTTCAACCTCCCCGCTGCATGGGCCTGGTCGCCCTTAATCACATCCTCCAGAAACACCACGCACCGGTCCACATACCTTCCAAAGCCCACATTGCCTATACCGCCCCTGAAGATCATCTTTACAAGTAGCCCCACCGAATACCCCATCTCAATATAAAACAGGGCTGGCAGCCTCCCCGCAAACGCCGGCGGGAACGACAGGAACGTGTCCAGACACGCATGCACGGCCGTCAGACACGTGGTAGCATGTGGAGGTGCTGGCGACGGCGGGTTGGCGGGTGCCGGAATGATCTCGGAGAAGATGAAGGGACGGACTTCGTCGCTGATGTGTTCGACGTGAAGGAGGCGGTCGTAGAAGTGCTTAACAGTGCATTGATGATATAGAGATAGTGCGGGGGTCATGAGGGCTGCGGAGACGGTCTGGTGGTGCCAGGTGTTGAGGCGGCCTAGGTAGTCGGTGAGGATTGTGTGGCGGTGGACGGAGGTGATATCAGTGGCGTCCATGGCAGCGCAGTACTGATCTGCTATGTGCGAGACCTGGATCCAGCGGGTGAAGTGCCTGTCGGTTGGTACGATGCCGGGGGTGGTGATAGAGGCTGTCTCAAAGAATTCGATGCACTCGCCCATGTACCGTGTGAATGGCAATAGGCAGGGACGGCGTAGAAGGCGGGAACTGCTGTTTAATTGTTAATTCAATTTGCTCTATATCATGAAAAGATTGTGAACAAACTTTGAGCACAGAAAGTAACAAGATAAAAGCGCCCTCCTAGACTCGGGTAGCGCCGAGTCACTATTAGCCCCCCAGATCATGAACCTCCAGCCCGCGTTGACTGGGAACTGCTCATTCAACTGCTGCTCTGCCTGTGCGGCCGAATCCTGGGGCGGTGGCGCTCTCTTAATCCCACGGGGCTTTGTGAGCGCAATATCATGAACCAATACGGCCGCCATGTGTATAAATTGGCTGATATTATTCCCGCCATATGTATCGGGGGGGTAATACCATAATATCGATATTGTGAGGGCCTGTATAAGCTCCAACGACTTTACGCCGCGGCGGATGATCTGCTCGCAGTAGCTGTTGAGAAGCTCGTGCTGGAGCGTGCTCTGTAGGTTACCACCGAATGTTGCGGAGGAGGCGGCGAGAATGGCGAGAAACACCGTGGGCTTTTGGCGGCGGGTATCGTCGGATGTGGCGGAGGGCAGGACAACGCCGGGAAAGACTGGCGATATGGTGTTGATATAGTGGGCGTAGATGCGGTCTGCGAGCTCGATGCTAATGATGCCGCGGTCTATGACATCCCTCTTTAGATACTTGACAGGGTCAATGGCAAGAGGAGCGCGGGGTAGTGGTCCCGGAGGGTGCACGACCAGGGCAGGAGGAGCGTCATCAGAAGAGGTCTTTCCCGGCCCACCAATTCCTGTCCCATTCTCCACTGCGTCGAGGCGTTCCGTCAGCTTCTCGACCTTCCTCTCCAGCTCAAGTACCCGTGAATCTGTGGTCTTCCTCCGCTTTCGCGAGTACGAGTTGCTCACACACTCCCTGCTGGCCTTGAGACAGCGGCCACATGGACGCGACGGGTCGTTGGGGTCAATGTCGCAGCGGACCTTGTGCAGACGGCAATACTCGCAGGCTCTGGCGGGCCGTTGAGTGTTGGTGGTGATGGTGGTACTGTTGGCTGTCGGGCTAGGGTCCGTGCCGGACGGTGAGTGTGAGCCGCCGGGGGAGAGGTGCTCGTAGTCCATCATGTGGGAGAGGGTTGGAGTGATGTGAATGAGAAGTTGGCATCGCCTTTCTGTGCATGCGGTCAATGGGACGCATAGAGTATATGCTGGTAGATAAAGTCAGGAGGTGGATCTATTAATATGTGGTATCCTTGTATCTATTGTCCATGTAGGTATCTTGCAGTAGTAGTTGGCACCAGCACCAGCACCAGCACCAGCACCGGGGGTGAGGGGGGGGTACTAAATATGTTGACGCAAGGTAATTAATAATTGAGGCCCTATTAATCAATTGAGGAAGTACTAGTACTCTAGAGCAGCTGAAGAATTAGCTAAAGGAGACTCCAGAAGACGATGGTGGTGATGGTAGCAAGTCAAGACAACACAAACGGCTCTCGCACTGACATGTACGCGAGCGCTGCGTATCTAGAGAGGGACGTTTGGCACCATTGCTAGCAGCAGCAGCAACACTTGCCCATCTGGGCATTTTTCTACTACTCAAGCACTGGGCTGTGCAATCCTCTGAGTGTTTTGCTTTTGATCACCACTTGACTTCAAACGACGTCGTTCCAGACTCGAGCTGAGTGAATACCGCAAAATCTCGAGTTATTCGGGGGGCTGCCAAGGCCACCTGCTAAACTAGATTTAGTTTAAATCCTGTAAAAGAGGGCGCCGGGCTGTTCCTTGAGGATCGCATCCTCAGCCTTTTGCCTTGGCAACCCCCCGAATAAGTCGAGATTTAGCGGTACTGTCGTTCACGGGGTATTGACGGACACTGGGTCACCTTGTTGACGGACAAGCCAAAAAAGAGACAGCCAAGCCAAGTTTTGCCTGCAATCCTTCAGCACCCAGTATCCGCCAATACCCCGTGAACGACAGTGCTTTACAGTCGCAACTCGATATGCCGGATTGCCAAGATTCTAAGGATTTCGTATGGGATAGCAAAAAATCCGGGATAGCAAATTGATTTTGCAGTAGGAAAATAATATTTTCAGAGGATCCCGTACGGGATAGTAAGGGATCCGGTGTATTGAGTTCCGGTATATCGAGTTGTGACTCCGACTGTACTGTATGTACCTCCTCCGCCTATCGCAGTCATACGGACACCTCAATACGATCCTAGTGCATGTATATCCTCTGCAATAATTGCTATCCTCTCCTCCGGCAAGTTCAAAGTTGAACAATATTTCTAGTGCCCAGGAATCTAAAATAGCACTATCAATTACAGTGCACCACCTAGCATCTTTCATATATATTGTCCTCGATCACATTTCCCTCCCCAATCCCAACGGCTGTCCCTCAGCGAGAAAAAGTGCAAAATCGCTTGATCGGACCCCATCAGATTCAGCAGCCTCGCCTACAAATAGGTCAAAGTGCAGTCTGTTGGGCTGTTAAAATTGAATGTTTACTTATTGATCCAACTGGCTAGGTACTGTGTGGTACTAGCTATCTAGCCTACATCCCTCCCTTGTTGGCCCCCTAGGCATGGGAGTGCTACATCGAAAAAAATCGTCCGACTCCCGGAGGAACATAAACTACTATATATTGGCAATGTCATGCCCCCCCCCCCCCCCGCCGCTAGAAAAAATAAGCCTTCTTCGTTCGACCCGTCAGTTTGTCTGCGGTAGTTACTACTAGTATTTTATCTATTACTGAATAGTAATCAATACTTTTTGCTTAATTTCCGTATTTCACTCGAGCTCGTTATAATGGCAGCTGCTACAGCTACAAGCGTTACAGCCACGCCCAGCACTCTTGCTGAAGTCGAGGCTTCGATGCGTGAGTACTACCTCCATAATAATAGTTCACTACCTTTACCAGCCAACTAGCTAACATCCACAATCAGACATAACCGTCAACTGGTACGAATACGATCCGTCATTACCAACTGCCATCGTCGGTGCAATCCTATTCGGGATCGTGGGCTTTGTGACTCTATTCCAGTTTTTCCAGAAACGATGCTGGTTCTGGTGGCCACTGGTATTGGGGACAATGAGTGAGTTTTTTTCTCTTTTTCTGGCTATTCTAAAAAGAATAGGTTACTTGGAAAAGTTCTGGATAGCTGATTTCATGGGATTTCTAGTGGAAATGGCGGGTTATATCGCCCGTGCGCCGTCCTCGAAATATACCGATAATAAGAACATGTACATCGTACAACTAGTGATGATCATGTAAGTACCCCCAAGCTTCTTCGGCGCAGCTAGACCTCCAATAAACAAACAAATATACTAACACACCCCATAGCCTCGCCCCCGGAATGTAAGCACCTCCCCCCCTTCCCACCCGCCCACACCTACTAACACTCCCCAGCATGGCCGCCGCCTGCTACATGGCCATGGGCCGCCTCATCCTTCACCTCACGCCCCCCAGCCATCTTCGATTCCGCACTCTCTGGGTCCCCGCGCGCTTCATCACGCCCACCTTCGTGCTCTTCGATGTTCTCTCCTTCGGCATCCAGCTGGTCGGCTCCTCCGTGGTCGCCTCCGCGTCCATCACCGACTTCGACCGCGTAAAGCGCGGTAGCCGCATCGTCGAGATCGGGCTCGCCGTGCAGCTCGTCTGCTTCGGCTTCTTTTCTTTTGTGGCGGCGAGGTTCTCGTTTGTGGCGAGGAGGTGGGAGAGTGCTTGGCCTGGGAGGGAGTGGTTGAAGTTGTTGTATGCGATAAATGCGGCTTGTGCGATTATCTTGGTGAGTGGTTTCTCTGTGTGTTGAGGAGAAGGGGGTGAAGGAGATGGTACTAATGGGTGGGGGGAGTAGTTGAGAAGTATATATAGGATGGTAGAGTTTGCGGGAGGCAGAGATGGGTATGTTAGGACGCATGAGTGGCCGTTTTGGGTGTTTGATTCGTTTTTGATATGGTGTATGTCTCCATCTCCCTTCTTTTCTTTCTTTATTGCGACAATGACTAACTAATTACCTGCTACTAATACTAGGCGTGCTGTTGGTCTTTACGCTCTTGCATCCGGCGGATTTCCTCCCGAATGTTGGGCTACGTAAAACGGTTGTTAAGCGGACCGACATCGAGGGTGCCGGCGGTCATGAGATGTTGGGCTCGAGAATCTCGGTAGCTAACTAGAGCTATATTGACTAACTAGAGCGGTGATGGGGGGGTGGGTTTAATTCGTACTTTGGGTTCTCAAGATCTTTCTATATATGTATTTAGTGATTAATATGATATTACCAATGACCTATCAAACTGTTGGGTGGTAGCGTGTGGACAGACCTAAGCAAGGAAAGCAGTGACCGGTGATTTTCGTCATGGGATATCACTCGGTCAAATCCACCCCCCCGGAATTCTGAACCATTCACTTAGATTCTGAACCATTCACTTAGATTCTGAACCATTCACTTAGATTCTGAACCATTCACTTAGATTCTGAACCATTCACTTAGATTCTGTGCCCGGAGTGGACAGCGAGTATCTCAAACTGCCCTTAGGGTATTTAGATTACTCGCAATATTACGCCGTAGACGCGTTGCTAGTTAATGTAAGGTCATGTGTGTGTGTGTGTGTGTGTGTGTGTGTTTGGGGGGGGGGGGGGGGGGGATTACTACAGACAGCACCATTAGCCATGCTTGCTGTCCGGGAAGAGGGCCACGCCTACTAACCTAGCCCACACATAGCCACCCACTACATTTGGGACTCTCATCTGATAAGCAGATAGCAAGCATAGCCAAGCCTGAGAAAAGTTAGCCAGATACACAATCCAGCAAGCTCCGGTAGTGTAATGGTAGCACACCCGTCCGTTGATACAATTGATAATAAATCCCGACTGGGTAGCTTGAGGTTCGATCCCTCTCCGGAGCGTCATTTTTTGAATTTTTTTGGTGGGGGGGTTGGGGTTAGAGGGGCTACCGCGGGGTATATAAGGGTTCTTTTTGAGGGTTGTTTTGAATGTCTTTTTTTTTTTTTTTGAAACGAGAATGTTTAGGGTTTGACTGTGGTCTTGTTCTGTGTGCCCGACACTACATGTACCTACTGCTCGAGCTCGTATATGAAATCGTTAGGAGTTAAATCGAGTACACCCCAGCTCTTCCAGCGGGATATTGGATTTTGCATTTCTGCTTACATAAAATCGCCAGTTTCATGCCAAACTATCATTTCCAAGCTACCCTACCCTAGCCCCACCAACACCCGAATCCAACTACAGCCCACGCCATCGATGGCGGAGGGCCATACCGCGTGCTTGGAATTATTCACGCCACTCACTGCTCTCAAATCTATCCGACTTATGAGCGGCCATTCCAGGTATGGCGAGGACCATGCTACTTGTCTGGTTGACGGTCCGGACTTTCGTCGAAGAGGGACATGCAGTATGCCTATACGCTGGAAAGAGGAAATTGATGACTGAGCTTAGGGAAATATCGTGATATTTGGCCTAATAGGGAGAGGGTCTTAACATATCTGGTAACGAATATTCCTTTTTAGGTCAAATATCACGATATTTGGGTGCAACCGAACGGGCCTAAGACATGATGGGACCTACGAGTGTAAGTCATAGACCAAAGCTTGGTATCGCTGGCTGTTTTGAAACCGGCGCTCAATACGAAGGTATTGACCTCCTTTGCGGACCGATATAAGAGAACGGTATCCTCTCACGATTCAGCTGGCGCGCACATACTTATCTGGAGACATCATCCCGCCGCTATCAAAGGCGTAATTATCCCTAGCCGGCGTTTTCCCTGCAGGATATAATATCCAACGGGTCTCCTTTAGCGTGGCTGTCTACGATACATTCGATTCACGGGCACTCTACTAGAGTCCGGTTTTCTCTAAAGACTAGTGTACTTCGAGCAAGAATGCATTCAATCCTTGGGTATCCACGGCTACATATAGCCGCATCTATTCTTGCTGGCAAAGAAGGGAATCAAAGGAGGCATTCTACATACCACCCATCTCTAATACCCCTTAACCTTCTTCATCTCCACCCTACTACTCCCCTCCCCCCCCTCCCCCTTCTTCCTCTCCCGCTCCGTCAATAACCACTTCTTCCTCATTTCCAACAACCCAAACCTCTTCTTCATCCCATAATCCTACCCCACAATCAGCACTTCCCCCTCTCTCCCGCACGCTCCCCTCCTCCTCCATCCCCCTCAGGAAGAAAAACACTTACAAAAGCCCCCTTCCACAAAAACGTGCTCACAAACCATGCCATCTTCGCAAAGTGCCCGCGCCAGTACCACAGCGGCTTACGCCAGTCGGGCTTCATGACTTGGCGCACGACGGCGCGCGCATAGTCTGTTGCCGACTGCGCGTTGACCTGTGAGTTTCCTGCGCGCGCACGGAAGTGGGATATGATTGGGAGGTAGAGAGATGCTGTTTGCGTTGTTAGTGCGGAGAGGAGAAAGGAGAGTGAGGGGGGAAGGCGGGAAGACTGACTGGGGGGCAGAAACGAATTGGTTATCGAGTGCCGCGCGATGTTGGAACTGATGCCGCCGGTGATGACCTACTGTCTATCAGTACCCACCCTGCTTCACAGCGCAGCCTGTGTCTAAACGTACCGTTATAACCTTCACACTACCGCCCCACCCCCGTCAGCTATATCCAACCACCACCACACACAAAAATAGAAAACACACTACATACCCAAACGGCGCCAACTCAACCCTCAAGCAATCCGCATAACTATGCAACGCGGCCTTGCTCGCGCCATACGCACTCCCAAACACATACGGCATGACACCCGCAATCGAGCCCACATTCACTATTGTCCCGCCGTCCTCCGCCGCTATCAGCAGCGCTACAAACTCCTGCACCATGCGCATCACGCCGAAGAGGTTGGTCTCGAACATGTCTTTGACGACCGTGTCGACCTCGAGGTCTGTTGCTGCTGCGATACGGGAGTAGCCTCTATTTGCGTGTGCTCTGGTTAGCTCATTGAGCAAGAGAGGGGGGGAGGGGGAGGGGTGCGATACGCATTATTAACAAGCACATCCAAACCTCCGCCAGTACGTAGGGCGATCTCGTCGCGCACGGACTGGATGTTTGCGGTGCATGTTACGTCGAGCGGGAGGATCTCGATGCCGAGGGTGTCTTCGAGCTCGATCACGGTTTCGAGGCGGCGGGCGGTGGCAAACACGCGGTATCCTGCGCACACATGTCAGATACGACCGTAGCTATAGTTACATTTGGCTATAATGCGGTACCTTTTCTGTGGAACTCCTTCGCCAGCTCTCCTCCGATGCCGCCGACGCCGGCCCTAGACGTGGTTGCGTTAGTATATTTACCCACAGAGAAACAGCCAAATAAAACACACACCCGGTAATAAGGACTGTTTTACGGTCATCCACTGATTCGCCGAGGGTGGAAGGCATTGTGAGTGGTTGTTTGATATTGGGAGGTTTTTGTTTTTGTAGATATATGCTGTGAGAGGTGAGGGTTTAGCTGATGAGCTCACCACCGATAAGGATCAGCCCTATCCTATCAGACGAGCCGTGGCCAAGGGTCCGGGGGTCCCGGGCCCTGCAAAGTGGGTTGGCGGGGCCTTGGTTACCCGGGCGTGGAGTCAGGGTCTGTCACTCGGCTTTCTGGGACTATATAACTCGGTAGAGTCGAGTCCAATCCACGCAACAAATGGTCACCATAAAGTAAGTGTTTTTACCCCCGTGTCATTTATTGTTTGGGATCTGCACTAATTCCACGTAAAAACGGTGTAGTCGAAAAAATATGGCATTGCCAATAGATTGGTTGCAATTGAGGAATCCGGAAGCCGGAATTAATATTCAATCGACCTTGGCCCGGCCTGGTCAGTGACTTAAATTGCGCAATTAATAACAATTATCGTTTTTCATCTTGCATACATGTATACCTAAGGTTAGCTCTCACTTATTCAAGATTAGGAATGAAGAAACTTCTCCCTCATTTGGGGTGCATCGAATTAGCAGTAGCCCGATACCTATACACACGTTTTTGGAGTGAAACAGGAGTTCAGTATAGATTTTTAGTTCTACGTAAATCACAGGAGGAAAACTAAAGTTTGGTTCATGAAAGTAGACAAGCTCGATGATAGTACTATGATGAGAAGAAAAGAAAAGCGAGACGCAAAAGAAATAGTACAGTCGACAGAACACACTAGCTACTAGGGACACGGTACACGCTGTGACCTGTCCTCTGACTAGTGTTCCCCATGAGCCTGTTCGAGACGAGCCCAGGGCATAGGCTCGTCTCGTCTCGTCTCATGGGGGTGATGGGCTCGTCTCGTCTCATTTTATGAGCCCAGGCTCACAAGATTCGAGCCTGTTCGAGCTTTTCCGAGTGATAGCATATGTTATTGAGAGATCCTACAGAGGCATTAGAAGTCGATGCCAGGCTGTTGTTTGGCAAGGATTTGAAGGCTAGAAACTATCTATAGTTCAGAATTACATGTACATGTAGGTACTGTCATCAGTTGAGAGGCCATGGTTAGGGATGGTTGAAGTAGTCACGATAAAAAGGTTCTGCTTGGCTAAAACTAATATAAATTTAGCATAGTATTCCCTGTGATTACCAATTCTTGGCGGGCTCGAGATAGGCTCGAGTAGAATTGATAAAAGTCTTGAGTAGGCTCGTCTCATGGGTTGTTCAGTCCCATGGGTTCGAGCCCGCTGTCTTGAGCCAAGCTTGTGAGCCGGCTCGTCTCATGGGGAACACTACCTCTGACCCCCATGTTATCTGTTCACTGCATTACCTGCAATCGAGTCAATCAATCTGCCACAACGTGCGAGACTATGCAAATTCGAGCAATCTCCGCTCATATATCATCACTCGCGAATTAGGACCGTTATTTATGGCGTACGTAAATGTGCCTGTATTCAGCTCTTCTCTGTGATATATAGACTATTGAGAAACTAAGCAAGTAATTCTCGGTCGTGGGGGTACTCGGATATTAGCCGGAAGGAAATCAACAGATGCATCGTTATCCTCTTCAATTCAGTACTTATGATCTAAATCTCGTTGAGTAAATTTAAATCCTGCCAAGTGAAGTCAGGTGTTTATAATTATATGATCATCATACCCGCTATGCCCATGGTCGGTCACTTCTAATGAAAGGTATTCGGGATGATCTTGTCTGTGAAACCAGCTGTGACACCGTACACTGCCCATAATACTTATATCTATGGTAGTAACCTATCGATTAATGTCACTGTGATTGTAACCCTCGATCCTAGTAACGTGTACCGTTATTTGGAATTCCTGTATGCATAAATGGCTTATGTAACCGTTTAATTGATGGAACTGGCCAGCCCCCCGCCGCACCCGAGTGGTTAATTCTGCCCGCCAGGCCCGGGCCCCGGGGTTAAGGGAGATATCTGCTATGGCGGGTCTTTATTGCCGTGCTTACTGCTGGATCGTGACTCATGATTATACAACTAGGTGTCGCAGCTTGAGATGTCAGTAGAGGGAAAGCACGGATAGAGATAATGCCTGCGATGTTTCGGATGAGCTATATATGGTGTGTTTGAGACTTTGAGTAGTGATACCGTACCGCGGATGGAATTGTGGCAGCGGGTCGATTGCTTGTAGGGATCCTTGGATCATGAGATGGAAGGGAAAATTTGGCAAATTAAAAGAGGTGCGCCCATGATAGAGCTGGTAGGCTAGGTTCGGGCTTTCGGGACACTTATATTTAGCGTAACTGCACATGTGTGTTTAAGCTTTAACTTTCCGTTAGCGAAAATCAAAAGTAACGACATGGCCTCTATGTTACTGGCAGGGGAGACGTCGTTTATCTCACATGATACATGCACTGCTTTGGTTGGTCTGAAATCTACACGAGATTTATCGGGCACAGGACATGCGTGCACACATTATCACTCGAGGCCTTAAGACCCTAATGCGCACGTCCATACATCATGAGCAATCATTCGACCACCGTCCAAACACAGAGAAATACTAACCTCAATTAGAATCTCATTTTCTTCTCTGGCTAACAAACGATCAATTAATCGAATTCAGGAAATACGTAGTTTTGAGTAACAAGCCCAGCTCGAAAACCACCATGTGCAATAACGAGCTTAACCAAATACAGAAAGAAAGCCAACACTATTATTCAGCGCCAAGCACGCACAGCTTCTTAAATCCGTGGTCTGATAGCCCTGATATGCTGACAACGAGATATATGTAGTCCGGAATGAACACCTTAACAACCCTGTCAGTATCATGATGGTGAGCTAACGAAGCGGGGGACAGTTTGCCTGCTCTGCATGCCCCTCCCCCGCCTCATATAAAAAGCCTAGCAACATCAACACCTCCCAGTACAAACCACTCACCAACTCTCACCAAACATCATTTTTTTTCAATTCACGACTTCAGAACATCCAAATATGTCGGAAACAGACCAGGGAGTGACCGAGTTCGTCTTCATGCACGTTGCCGAGGGCTCGAAGCCCGGCGAGGGCCACGAAAACTTATTTGGCGCAACAGCACCGGGCCTCATCAATGGCCGCTACGGTTGGCAGGTTGAGGACCCCAGTGTGTTCCACTGGATCATAAGTATATAACCATCCATCCACCCAATATGATATCCAATATTTAGCTCCATATATACTCGGGCGTTCATGAAATGGTCGGATATCGTTGCAACCAAATCCCTACTAAGAATTCCGACCATTTAATAAACGCATGAGTATATATATCTACATACATATAGATATATACATGGGTAGCTCATTAAGTTTACTACAGTAAACTAACCATCAATCCTACCAGACTGGAGAAGCCTCGACGACCACAAAGCCTTCATGGCCAGCCCCGAGTACCCCGCATTCGTCCAGAAGATCACATCCTGGACATCCAACCTCTCGCTCTTCCACGCCGCGCTGACCCCGCACCCGCCCACCGAGGTGTTTGAAGGACTGACCACGGAGCTGGTGAAACTGCACCTGAAGGAGGGAATAACGAAAGAAGAGATGACGAAGACATACCATATTTTCGAGGGGCGCTTGAAGAACGCGAAGGGATACCATGCCCATGCTGGGGGGTGGTCGATCGAGGATGATAACTGCGCGGTCATTGTGATTAAGTGGGATGATAAGGATGCGCATACGGATTGGGTAAAGTCGGAGGAGGGGAATGATATACTGAAGGGGACGGACGGGCTTCTGTGTAATGTGGCTAAGATTGAGATGTGGCATATCAATGATGCTGGTGCGATTACCCCTTTGAAGTAATTTCTTAGGAATGGGGTTTGCGATTGGACTGTTCATAGAGCGTAGATTACATGTATGTAGCTATTATTTTATGCTCCAAGACCGGACAAATTCCAGGTCTGATCATGAATACTGCCTCTTGTTACTCTCCTACTTGGTACACATTTAATTGCGGTATTGTAGTTGTGGGTGCACAAGCACTTTAGGGCCAAGTGTGCATATGTGATTCTAATGGCATTCTCTACCTCAGGTACTAAATGATCCTTATTCTGGTAAGATATTCGCAAGGCTTGCATGTCTTCGCCCAATATACTAACTTTAGAGCATATCCCGGAAAATTGATATTATGCAATGATGTACTGCACAACCAATCAATAGCATCCAAAGCTCAAAAAAACAAACTCACAGAGCATCTTCAATTATGGCAATCCCACTCTGAGGGCTAGGTATTATTCGGCGAAGATACTAGAGAATGTATGTCATACGTAGTTAAAGAGCACTACATGTGCTTAGTAGCTTAATTGTCATTAAAGAAGCTCTGTACTTAAGTCGAGGAAAACTATTCTCGATCTCTCTCTCTCTCCTCTCATCATCATCATCAATACAAGTAAGGGCCTGTTTAGAACCGTCCGAAAAACGGAGCTATGGTTGCTTGAAACTCTGTTCTGACGGAAACTCTGTTCTGAGAAAATGTGTTGTGCTCGGAGGCCCACCCCGCAGGTTCGGGAAACAACGTTCACTCTGTTTCCAATAAGTAAAACTTCTCCGTATTCCACCCACTAACGGAATATGATTGAAACGTTAATTTCTACTGAGGCCGGCTCCCAAACGGACCCTAACAAGAACGAACCTCCCAAGTTAGTTCATCAATGGCTGCTCGTTCAAACTAAAGGAAAGGCATCGAGCTAGGTACTCAATAACCCCATAACTCGAAACAAGAAAAGATAATGCTGATATGATGCCGCTTCCCTAGAAACGATGGATACATGTGCGTACGTAGCATCTGCAAACAGATCATACTGGTAATACCAGTTTGAAACGTCTCAGTAGCAGCCGAAATGGCCACTCGCCATACCTCCTCCAGCCTGAGTCCAGTAGGTTGTGATCCCGCCAAGACTTCCGTTATCGAATAGCCGAACTCCAACCTTAAAGTCCCCGTGGTCGGACGCCTTCCATACGTCCGGGTGATTGACGGTGAAGCCAGACCCGGACCTAGGCTGAGTGGCTGTAGAAGGGCCTCGTGGTGTTGGTGTAGGAATGGAGACCCTCAAGCTGTAGGTAAAGCTCATCTCATGGAGTTGTGAGTGAGCTGCCTCGGTGCACTAGACATCATGCCTAATGCCGATCAATCTATTGGTTAGCGCCACAACCGCTCCTGGAAAAATTTCAGGCATCATGTTCGGCCGTCCAGACGAGTGATTATTCATGAAGAAATGTGGAAGCCCGCGATGAGAACATAGATGAAAGAGACGGTCCTGGACAGAGTTATATATATAGAGCGGTTTGAGGTATGTATGGGAAGTTTTTTCTTTCTCTTTGTTCGACTACAGCTGGAAATGGAGGAGGGTCGGTTGAGGGTTTCCCGCCGGCTGGCATCTTGAGAAACGCTCGGGATCTCCACTTCCGCGATGTGGACCCGGAGAACCCTGCGATACAGCTGTTGCCTGTAGAGGAGAGGAGGGTAGAGTGCATGTAGGTACAGAGAGAGAGAGCTCCATCACATTCACAGGATCGAGGAAAGGTGAGTTGAGAAACGGGTATCGGCCAGTATATCGAGCATGCAAGGAGGTCGAAAAGCTTTTCCTCCCTGAGACACTGCGACAAACGAAGAGACAAATACTCCACAACAGCTCCGGTGCAGCATCGAATAAGTAGAATAGAGTAATGAAATCCAGTCTCAAGCGCAGCGGGTAAAAGCCATACCTAGATAAAACTACATCATATCCAGTGCCACTTCCCCCCCACCGCCAATTCCCCAATCGCCGGGATCCGGGCACAGGAAAGGGTCTACTCGGGCTAAACTTACTGGCCCCGAGCCTAAAGAGCTTGAAAGACAAGGCAGGAAGAGCAAGAGGGCATCTCGATCCCAAGCCGGTAGCTGACTCAGCAAGGGTCCTTCCCACTTCCGAAACCGCCCGCTAGCGTTGCGAGTTGGCTGGTGGCCGCCGGGCGCTTCCTGAAAGTTCGAAGTTCCTGTGTGCCGCTTTGCGCTTTTTTTTTTTTTTTTTTTCTCTTACTACAACTACTACCCCCCTTCCTCATTTCTCGGGTCTTTCCTTTTTGTACTTCTTCCTCTCTCCTCCTCTCCTCTCCTCTCCAAACCATTAACCATCTCTACTCTCTCCTCAAAAGTTTTTGAATTTTTTGTTTGAGAAAAAAAAAATGTCGAAAGCCGTTGAAGCCGTTGTCAACCCCCCTGCTGAGCAGAAGCTCTCAGGATTGGCCCTCTACTCTCGTTTCGCCTTTGCCGGAGCTGTCTGCTGTGGCGTTACTCACGGAGCGTTGACCCCCGTTGATGTGTAAGTCTGAACCTCTTTTTTGAGTATTTTTATCTATTTTTTTTCTTTTCTTTTTTCTCGTGGGGTTGTGGGATTGGGGGAATGATGTGAGGAAGGGGAATAGGCGAGGGGGGGGGAAATCCTCCATCGTAAGAAAGCGCAATTTTAGATGGCATAAGAAAGAGCTAGGGGTCAATTGAGAACGAACGATGGGGGGTTTCATAAAGAATCCTCTGAATTGATATACGGAGATATTTGAGAATGCAGTATCAGTATGAATTACGTCGCTAACATCGTTTTCCAGTGTAAAAACCCGTATCCAGCTCGACCCCGCCAAGTACAACAAGGGCCTCATCGGTGGCTTCAAGCAGGTTGTTCAGAGCGAAGGTGCTGGCGCCCTTTTGACCGGTTTCGGTCCTACTGCTGCCGGATACTTCCTTCAGGGTGCCTTCAAGTTCGGAGGTTACGAGCTTTTCAAGCAGCAGGCTATCAACATCCTCGTGAGTTTCTTACCACCCCCCCCCCCCCCCCCCCCCCTCTTCCTTTACGTATCCCCGCGGATAGCTTCAATGCCCCCGGTTTCCGAATTGAGCCTAAACTCTAACAACTATCCTAAATAGGGTTACGACACTGCCCGTGATAACCGCACCGCCGTTTACCTTGCTTCCTCCGCTCTCGCCGAGTTCTTCGCCGATATCGCTCTCTGCCCTCTCGAGGCCACCCGTATCCGTCTCGTCTCCCAGCCCGACTTTGCCAGCGGTCTCCTCTCCGGATTCTCAAAGATCTTCAAGAATGAGGGTATCGGCGCTTTCTACTCCGGGTTCGGGCCCATCCTGTTCAAGCAGGTTCCCTACACCATGGCCAAGTTCGTCGTCTACGAGAAGGTTTCCGAGATGGTCTACAGCAAGGTCGACAAGTCGACTCTCAGCGATGCTGCGCAGACTGGTGTGAACTTGGGATCTGGTTTGGTTGCTGGTATGGCCGCTGCTGTTGTCTCACAGCCCGCCGACACCATGCTCTCAAAGATCAACAAGACCAAGGGACTTCCCGGTGAAGGTACTACCTCCAGGTTGATCAAGATCGCCAAGGAGCTCGGTATCAAGGGATCCTACACCGGTCTCGGTGCCCGTTTGTTTATGGGTATGTTTCCTCCCCTGCACAGCAGTGCCAATAACTTTTATATATCAATTGCTAACATGATGAATAGTTGGAACTTTGACCGCTGGACAGTTTGCCATCTACGGAGATATCAAGAAGGCTCTCGGCGCCGTTGGCGGTGTCGAGATTGGAAAATAAGCGGGTGGGAAAAGTCTTTTTCGGAGAATTTAAATATTTGTAGCGTCTACTGTTCTTGTTTCTGGCCTCTTATTTTTTTTCTTTTTCTTTCTAGGGTATGGGTTAGAACTACTTTAGAACATGCGGTTGCGTGTGTATTAGATAGACGGTTAATATATATCCCCGGCTCTCGATTGGGGGGCGCGGCGCTGGACTTTGGAGAATCATGATCATTGGCTTGAACCTTGAGGGGGGTGAATCGAGTAAAGTGTTCTATCTATTTTGACCGGGAAACCACCTGAAAGATTCTGGGTATGCCTGAAAGGAGTTGTTTACTTTGTATTGTTTACTCCAGGGTACACCACAGTAGAAGCCACATAACGATGCCGATGGCTGGGTCGGATCATGAATCCACACAGTCTGTATCAGACTGTATGTATGGCAGCGGCCCAGTACCTAGATGTATCTTCAACGGCCTGAATGAATTGGGTGACCATCTCACGATCCTCACCAGTAGCTTGCAAGTACCCACTGCGCTGTGTTGACGGCCTGACAATGCGCCAATCACACCCCCGAGTGAGTGTGCCTGGGAATCTTCCTGTAACCGCCCAACAGAACAAGTGTCAACTTGCAGAGCCTGTGATGCAGATATCGCCGTCACCACGGCAACCGCTGCGAGGGCCCGTGCGCGTGGGTAAACAACTCGCAGGTGTCAACAACAGTTTGGGGGGGCCTTTTTGCTCTGCGGTGCTCTTCTTTTCTTTATTCTTCAGACAGGCAGAAAGACAGACAGACAGACAGACAGAGAGACCTACATACATCGCACATCACATCAGGCAGGCAGACAGACGCACTCCTCCTCCTCCTTGCTTACCCGCTTCTATCTTTGAGCATCTTCACTTTTTCCTCTTCTTCTTTGTCCGTCACACGCAATCACTCCTCCCTGTTGAACCTCCCCTCCTCCGCCGCATCCGTTCTCAACTGCAGAGCTGAGAGTCAAAACGTCCCCCCCCCCCCCCCCTCCACCCCCGTTCTCGCAACCTAAACCCCTCCCCGCAAGGAATGCGCTAAAACAAAGTTTTAATTAACGTTGAACTGATTGACACGACCCATTTACGACCCTTTGCATTCATCCCGTCCGCCTTCATCAATCACCCATTTTCACCCCCTTATTTGTATAACGTCTGCAAGCTACTCGAATCTGCGGGTACCCCTCGTGTTTGTCTAGAGTACATACATATATCCTCT